GGCTAGGTGGGGCTGTGGCTATGTGGCAGCATGTTTGCCTAGTACTTGGAGGCACAGGATTTGATTCCTAGCACCAAAGCAACAATACTAAAGCTGGCATTACAAGCATAAACAACCAAGTATGGCTGCAGGTTTGTTATGATCTGGTTAAGTGCAGTCTCAGAGACATGGGGGTGACAAAATCCAAACTGAACTGAGTTAAATATGGTTCAGAATAGGAGGAAGTAGCAACTGAAGAACGCAAGAAGATTGGCTCTGCTGAGGAATCAAGTGGAGTCAGGCCTAAGAGGGCATACAGAGATTGTGTATGGGAGCTGACCACATAGGATCAGAAAAAAACTTAATCATTAACAGTGGAATGGCTGAACAATGCCAGTTAAAAAGAATGAGATACAGGGCTGGATACATGGCTCAGCAATTAAGAGCATTGGCTGCTCTTGCAGAGGATGGGATTCAGTTCCTAACAGCTAGGTAGCAGTTAACAACCATCTGTAACGCCCTCTTCTGGCCTCTGCAGGCTTTGCATGACATGGGTTCACTTACATACATACAAGAAATACACTCATACTCGTAAAATAAAAATAATAAAATATTTTTTTAAAAGAATGAGAGGGGGGCTGGAGAGATGGCTCACTGATTAAGAGCATCCACATGGTGGCTAACAACTGTTTGTAATTCCAGTTCCAGAGGATCTGATGCCCTCTTCTTTCCTCCACAAGCATTGCAGGTGCAGTATCTACATGTACATACATGTAGGCAAAACACTCATTCACAGCTGCTCCTGGTGGTGCACATCTACATGTACATATATGTAGGCAAAACACTCATTCACAGCTGCTCCTGGTGGTGCATGACTTTAGTCCCAGCACTCAGGAGGCAGAGGCTGGCGGATCTCTGTGTGTTGGAATCCAGCTGGGAATACAGGGAGACCCTGTCTCAAAAAAAAGACCCCCCCCAAAAAAAGACCAAAACACTCATTGATGTAAAAATAAGAATTTTTAAAAGATTTTTTTAAAGTAATGAAATAAACATCTTTATATGTTAATAAATCATCAAAACAATACTGTCAAAAGTAAGGAGGCGTGACATAAACTATGGCCATACCATCCAGAACAGGCTATCTGGTCTGGTCTTAGAAGCTAACCAGAGTCCAGCCTGTTTTGTAGCTGGATGGTGATAGGTAAAAAGTGGCCAATGGATGAATAGGGTTGATTGGGAGAAAGCACCAAGACACAGGTAAAACTCTCAGCGGGATAGGGTTTTATTTCACATGGGACACGTTCTCTTTGGGGAAGGGAAAATAGCCCACGGATTGTGAGCTGAGGCCTTTATAGGGGACTTCGGGGTGGGGGGTACAGAAGGTGGGAAGTTTTTTAGAAAAAATTGGGCCGGGGGGGCACGGGGAGGGGGGGTGCAGGAAAGTGGGACTTGTAAAACCCGCCCCTTCCCGTCTGTCAGCCAGGATCTGGGTCTGGAAGTGTTTGTTTTTGTCCTTTTAAGATAAGGGGAAAACTGCTGTGCTGAAGTGGCTCCTGAGGTCTCTGGTTAAAAGGCGGTATCTGTTTATCTTGTCTTTGGAGATCATCGAAGGAAAAGCAAGCTGTCTTTTAGAAGAGTCTGCTTCTCTTGACTTCAAAGACCAGGGTGCTTATTAACTCGGTTCCCTTTTCTCAGGGGGTTTGCTTGCGAGGTCCATGAGGCCCTGTTGGAGATGGGGAGGGCTGCTATGGTTTGGAACCCTAATATTCTAGGCTTTCGTGTTATAGGATAGGGGGGCGCCGTTGTTATCTTGCTATTGTCATCTTGCTACTTCCTGCTGGACAAGGTCGACGTTGGGGGGGCTGGATTTGGGGTCCATTAGACAGCAGGGGTTCTCTCTTTGTGCATCTGAACTGGGTCCTTGATGGTTGACAGGCATTCATATACATGTGGAGGGAAGGAAAGTAACAACTGATTAAAATTAGTATGAGTTAGTTTTTGGATTTGGTCCTGAAAATATCTGAAGAGGCAAGAGGCAATGGTTAGCACCACAGTGATAGAAAGCAGGGGGCCCAGAAAGGGCAGAAGCCAGAGAGTTAATCCTGTAAAAGTATCCCATTGAGATGACTGTTGGTACTGGGAATTTTTTTGTTTTTTTGAGATAGGGCCTCCTTGTAGCCCCAGCTGTCCTGGAACTCGCTATGTAGACCAGGCTGGCCTTGAACTCACAAAGATCTGCCTGCCTCTGCCTCCCAAGTGCTGGGATTAAAGGTGTGTGCCACCACGCCCGGAGGTAGTGGGAATTTTTAAGTGAAAGATTTTTTGCTACCTGCTGGAGTTGTTCTATATCACATTTGACCTTACCGGATTGGTTGATAAAATAACAGCATTCTTCACCCAGAAAAATACAGGTTCCCCCTTTTTCTGCAGTTAATAGATCCAGGGCTCGCCTGTTCTGGAGTGCAACTTCAGCTAGGGAGGATAATTGTTGTTGTAGGAACTGGATTGACTGGGCTGTAGTTTCCACTGTTGAAGTGAGCTCCCGTCTGAGGTCCTCCATTTCTTGAGAAAGATGCTGGGTTGAGATCAGCGTGTGCCCCAAGCCTCTGGCCACGAGTCCTGTGGCTGCTACTGATGCCACCAGGCTAACTCCTACCAGGACTGCCAAGGTGTCTGACCTCCTTGTTCTGGTTCCGTCTTTCCCTGTGGATAAGACATCATACACCTCTTCTGGTGTGTATAGGGTTAGTTTGGGTATGAGAATGACTGGAGTGCAGGTGTCCTCAATCTATGGAGAGATGCAGGAGTATATACTACAGAGAAAGAGCAGTCCCGAGGTTAGAGCAGTATTGCCCTTAATTGTGACATTTCGGCTTGATGAGTGTGGGCATTCAGGGGTTCGTGGAGTCCAACACACTGTTTTGTCAAGAAAAAGGGGAGGGACAGGCAAAGGTCCTTGTATTAGGAGTTCCTGAGAACATTGAGTAGTAGCCTGGGGAGTAACATTGTAAACTGGGAGGGGGATGAGCAGTGAGCCCTGTAGGGGGGCAGCACAAAGGAAGCAAGTGGACACATTAGTACTAGAAAAATTGCTCAGGAGATTAAGTGATAAAGTGAGAACATGATTCCCAAGAGAAGCTGCAGGAGGCATTGAACCTTTGAAGCTGCTTCATTGTGAGGCCCCTTGTCTGATCCAGAACTTTCATAGCCCATTGGGGCCTTGAGTCCTGGATTGTCTTTTTTATCTTTACTCACCAGCGGTCTATGACAGCCGCTATGTATTGGATCCCTGCTGCAGCAATATGGTCCCCCATCCATGAGTGCAGGTCAAGTATTTTGAAGACCACTTCTCCACAGACTTCTTGGTTATACAGATTGTGTCTGTGTAGGATTGACTCCCTGCTACACTTACGATATGTTGGGTCAGTTACCCAAGTGAGTTGGTTTGTGCTCATTCCGTATTTACCCCATGCCTTCTGCACCCCCCAAAACCCTCCTATAAAGGCCTCAGCTCACAATCCGTGGGCTATTTTCCCTTCCCTGAAGGGAACTGTCCCTTGTGAAATAAAACTCTATCCCTCTGAGAGTTTTATCTGTGTCTTGGTGTTTTCTCCTTACCAACCCTCATCCATCACACAAAATTCAAATTCTCTGCTACATAGAATCCAATCTGCACCACATGAGACTTTGTTTCAAAACAGAAACAACCAGGTGCTGGAGAGATGGCTCAGAGGTTAAGAACACTGACTGTTCTTGCAGAAGACCTGGGTTCAAATCCCAGCACCCACATGGCAGCTAACAACTCCCTGAAACTCAAGTTCCAGGGAATTCCATGGCCTCTTCTGTCTGAAGGCACTGCACAACATGGGTGCATTTACATACATGCACACAATACACACATACACATAAAATTAAAATAAAATAAAGGGCTGGGCGTGGTGGTGCATGCCTTTAATCCCAGCACTTGGGAGGCAGAGGCAGGTGGATCTTTGTGAGTTCGAGGCCAGCCTGGTCTACACAGTGAGTTCCAGGACAGCTGGGGCTACAAAGGAGACCCTGCCTCAAAAAAAGACAAATAAAATAAAATAAAATAAAAAGAACCAAAAAGCAGTGAAGAAAGGGCAGGAAGTGAAGGAGGATGGAGAGTGGTGGTGGCCCATGCTTTTAATTCCAGCACTGAGGAGGTAACAGGCAGATCTCCTGTAGCCTGAGGAGGCCAGCCTGGTCTACACAGTGAGTTCCAGGACAGCTGGGGCTACAAAGGAGACCCTGTCTCAAAAAAAGACAAAAAATAAAAGAAAAAGAAACAACCAAAAAGCAGTGAAGAAAGGGCAGGAAGTGAAGGAAGTGAAGGAGGATGGAGAGTGGTGGTGGCCCATGCTTTTAATTCCAGCACTGAGGAGGTAACAGGCAGGTCTCCCTGTAGCCCCAGCTGACCTGGAACTCGCTAAGTAGGCCAGGCTGGCCTTGAACTCAAAGAGATCTGCCTGCCTCTGCTTCCCCAGACCAGTGCTGGGATTAAAGGCATGTGTCACCACGCCCGGCCTTGGAATGTTTCTTACAAATTTGAGGTAAATATAAACATTATGAGTGTGTACAGAATTTGGAACCTGTTGTTTATCCACAGTAAGGGTTCGGCCATCGTACCTTAACTCCTGTTCCTCCTGCCTCTAGCCAAGGGCTATCACTACGGGTTGGCTAACACGCCAGAATTGCTGGTACTTTTTATCATTAAAAAAGTATCATTTTGTAAATAAACAGACATAGGAAAAAAAAAAAGTAAAATTCTATCCCTATCTTTCCCCGCCCAAGGCGAGCTCAATTTTCAATTATCATTTCCTTTTCTTCGCCTCTGCCTGGACCATCTGGAGCCAGAAGGGCAACCATCCGGACAGCCACTCTAGCACAATACGGAGGACCAACTCGTTAGCTGGGAAGGTTCACCCCTCTGTCTCTCAGGGGTTAACGAGTTCAATGTTTGGCATGCTTCCGCTTAGGAAAGGGAGGCCCCTCCTCTGTCCCTGGTTCCCTCGGACGGTCCAGCCCTTGGGAAATCTCTTCTACCCGCGAGGCCCCAGTCGTCCCTACTATGCTCTCCAGCCCTCCTGGGAGGACTCTACTACAGCTCTGGATACTCCAGAGATCCACGAGCTGCCTGAGAAGAACTGCGATCGACTTTTCGGACCAGGATGAGTCACTTCCGGTCGCAGACTCCCTCCTCCGGAAGTAAGGACTGATGTAAACACCGGAGCCGGTCATCAAGGCCCCGGGAGGTCAGAAAATTGTGCCGACGGCGGCACCTACAGCTAGAGCTGGGATCACGACGAGGAACTGGAGGTCTTTCCTAAGGGTTGGTCTGGGTCATGGGGTGGGTGTCTCTAGTAGGTCCTGATAGATGATGGCTTGGGACAGGAGTCTTAAATAGGTGCTGTCATGAAAAGGAACCTGACTTTTGGGAGAGGTGGAGGCATCCAAGGTAGAGTTATTGGATACGGTGGATATTGTAATAGAGATCTAAAAAGGAGGTCTTGAAAGCTTAGAGTTGAGCTGACCAAAGTATAGCTCTTGAGGAAGTGAGAGCTAGGTGGCAGGTGTTACACCAGGTTTTAGGCTCATAGAAGATGAGTAGGGGGTGTGCCTAGACAGAGATCTTGGAGTGATGGGGTTTGAACAGAGGAGGAGACTTCTAGGGCAGGAATCTTGGTTAAGTTCCTTTTTCTTGGCTGGGGTTTTGGGTGGTGTGTCCTGCAAGAAAGTCTTGAGGGGGTAGCTGTACCCTAGGGCTGGGTCTATAGGAGATAATGTGGGGACAAGGACAAGTTTTAGGGGTATGGGATTTATAAAGGTGGGTTGGGGTTTAGCTCAGTTAGGACTCAGGTACAGAAAACAAAGAATGGAATGTTAATTTAGAATGAGGGACTGGAGAAATGACTCAGTGGTTAAGAGCATATATTGCTCTTCCAGAGGACTTGAGTTTGATTCCTAGCATTTGCATCAGGTGGCTCAGTATCACCTGTAACTCCAGCTCCAGGGGTCTCTGGCCTCTGTGGACTCCAGTATTAATGTGCACATACACATACCTTTGCATACATATATACATGATTAAATTTTTAAAGTTTAAAAAAATTTAGAGTGAGGGGCTGGGGAAATGGCTCAGTGGTTAAGAGCACTGGCTGCTCTTGTAGAGGACTTGGGTTTGATTCCCAGCATCTACAATGTAGCTAACAACCATCTGTAAATTCCAGTTCCAGGGGATCCAACACCCTCTTCTTGCCTCCTTGGGCATTGCATGACACAGGTGTACTCACATACATGCAGGCAAAACACTCAAACACATGAAATAAACATAAGTAAATCAAAAATGTAAAACGGAATTTAGAGTGATAAAGGGATGTCAGGTGGGGTCTTCAGGATGTAAGGGACAATTCCCCTTTGGGTCAGAGGAAGCAACATGTGAGATGAGGTTGGGGAAAGTGTGGTGGTGGTGGTGTGTGTGTGTGTGTGTGTGTGAGAGAGAGAGAGAGAGAGAGAGAGAGAGAGAGAGAGAGAGAGAGAGAGAGAGAGAGAGAGAGAGAGAGAGAGAGAGAGAGAGAGAAAGAGAGAAGGGGTAAGTGTGAGAGAGGTCTTGGAGGTGGATGAATGGGTTGGCATTAGAAAGGCATGAGAAGGGGAGTTCTGTGGGTGGAGGGTCGTGCATGCATAACCTTCCTCTCAGAAAAGTGCAGGATGTCTTAGCCCTTGTTCCACCCTGTTTACTAACAGATGATAGTGACATGTAAGTATAGGCCTGGATATTGATAGGTAGGAATGTTGGAGAGAGAGCAAGCGGCGCAGATGGAGGAGGCACCGAAGCACAGACGGAATTCTCAGCGGGATACAGATTTATTTCGCACGGGGCACCTTTCCCTTGGGGAAGGGAAAGATGTCAGCCCACGGGCTGTGAGCTGGGACTTTATATATAGGGGCTTTAGGGTGTAGAAGGGGGAATGTTTGAGGGAGAAATCAGGGAGGGGGAAGCAGGAAAAGCAGGTAGGATTAGGGTCTGGAAGTGTTTACTTTTTCCCTCTTAAGATAAGAGAAAAGCTGTTATGATAAACAACTTCTAAAATCTCTGGTTAACAGGTAGGTCCCTGTTGGGGAGGGGGGAAGCTGCTGCTGTTTGGAACCCTAACAGATATGGGGTCGGCCAGTTTACCTGTGGTCTTGGCAGACTTGAACAGATACTCTGGGATATATTCCTCTATTTTTCATTTTCTTTTCTTTTTGAGATAGGGTCACACTATGTAACCCTGACTGGCCTGGAACTGACTATGTAGATCAGGCTGTCCTAGATCTCATAGAGATCTGCCTGCCTCTGTCTCCAAGTTCTGGGATTAAAGGTGTGTGCTACCCCCCCACCTTGTTTTTGCTTTTTGAAAATCTGGATCAAGAAAAGTATCATTTGGTAACCCTGACTGGCCTGGAACTGACTATGTAGATCAGGCTGTCCTAGATCTCATAGAGATCTGCCTGCCTCTGTCTCCAAGTTCTGGGATTAAAGGTGTGTGCTACCCCCCCCACCTTGTTTTTGCTTTTTGAAAATCTGGATAAAGAAAAGTATCATTTGGGGAGGAAGTTGGGTGTGGCAGCACACACCTATAATCCCTTACAGACTTGGAGGCTGGAGGATTTCTGGGAATTCAAGGCCAGGCTGAGCTATATAAGGAGTTCTAGATCAGCTGGAGCTACATAGCAAGACCCTATTTCCAAACAGAATAGACAAAAAAAGTAGGAAGAAATCATTTGGGGGACAGAAGTTGTAGGAATCAAGAAAGGAGGGCCTCCCCACCCCCTACAAGGACTCCTTGAAATGCTGTCCTTTCTGTATCCAAGGAAGCAATTCTGGACCATGACTCAACAGCCACTCCGAGGTGTGACCAGTCTACGTTTCAACCAAGACCAAAGTAAGAGAGGCTTGTACTTGTGCCCTTGAGGAAAGGAGGGAAAAGAAGAGTTAAAGACCCACAGTGAGCCCTAACATTCTCTGAGTCTGATAGATTCCTTCCATTCCCAGGTTGCTTTTGCTGTGCCATGGAGACAGGTGTACGCATCTATAATGTGGAGCCACTGATGGAAAAGGGACATCTGGGTGAGCTGCTGTTGGTGGTGGGGCAGTGGGCAGAATGATCAGACTGGGCACTAGCATCCTCTACTAACACCCTTGTCCCTATGCAGACCATGAGCAGGTGGGCAGCATGGGCCTGGTAGAGATGCTGCACCGCTCCAACCTGCTGGCCCTGGTGGGTGGTGGTAGCAGCCCCAAGTTCTCAGAGATCTCAGGTAAGAGCTTTCATCCTGTACTTGACCTAGATTCCCCAAATTCCTCACTTCCCACAGAAACCCTGAGGCACTAGCAGATGAAATTGTCAGCACCTCAGCCTCCTACATTGAGGTCCACAGCTTATAAGTCATGGATCTTAATGCTTGAGAAGCTTGGTCTTTTTATTTAGGAAACATTTATTGGGGCTGGATGTGTAGCTCAGTGGTAGCACACTTGCCTAGTATGCATGAGGCCCTAGGTTTCATCTCTAGCACTATAAAAACAACAAAACCACTTATTGTGTGCCTGCTATATGGCATGTTCTTAACTATGGAGCACTTACTGTGAACCTGATATTGTTCTAAGCACTTTATACACATTTTTTTTGAGACAGGGTCTCCCTGTGGCTCTGGGTGGCCTGGAACTCCTATGTAGACCAAGCTGGCTTCTATCTCAGGCTGCGTCTGCCTCCAGAGTGCTGGGATCAAAGGTGTGCCCAACCATACGTGGCCTCAAACACATTTTATTGAGGCTCTGTTTTGTGTAGTAAAAAATGACCTTGGATTGATCTTCCACCTCTACCTGCCAAGTCTTGGGATTAACAAGCTTGTGCCACCACACTTGGTTTATACATATTAACTCATTTATTCTTATAGTAATTCTGTGTTGTACTAGGGTTGGAACACAGGGCCTTGTATATGCTCTATTATTGAGCCATACCCCAAGCCCCCTTCACTTTTACTGATGACAAAACTGAGGCCCAGTTAAGTGACTTATCCAAGATCACACAATCAATAGGTTTTCAAATCTTGGAGCCATCTTTCATACACCCTCTTGGCTTGAGCCTCAAGTGCCATCTTGTTTTAAGGGTTTTTCTTATCGATTCCACCGCGACATGGCAAGAGTTGTCCTAGGTGAGTCATAAAGCTTTAGACTTCACAGGAATATCCTGTGGGGGTATGGATTGGATCCTAGAGACAGAAGTAACTGCAGAGGGGAAGTTGTGGGACTGGGTACGAATCCCTTATTGTTTGTTCTTGGGCTGTATGGTCGTTGATTATAGATGCTCAGCCCATTTGAACATTGATTTCCTTATCTCCAAATCAGCTTAACTATTCTAGAATGTGTTCCCTCAGGGATCTTGTCCACAAGTGTTTATGCTCTGTGAGGCTCATAATTGAATATTTAGTGAAAGGTGAAGCAAGTAATTGAGGGCTCATAAGGAGTAAGGGGTGGGTCCTGTGTCACTGGGGCTGCCCCTTAACCCTAAACCTTGGTCCTGCTGACCTACCCACCTGCCCAGCAGTGCTGATCTGGGATGATGCCCGAGACGGCAAGGACTCCAAGGACAAACTGGTACTGGAATTCACCTTCACCAAGCCAGTGTTGGCTGTGCGCATGCGCCATGACAAGTGAGCTTGATGAGGACTGGGGTGGGGGCACGAGGTTCCCATAATAAGTGAGGTTAGTTCCACCTGGGCAGCTGCCCTCTCCTTATGGCCTTCTGTGCTATGTGGTGTCTGCAGGATCGTGATCGTGCTGAAGAACCGCATCTATGTGTACTCCTTCCCTGACAGTCCTCGAAAGCTGTTTGAGTTTGACACTCGGGACAACCCCAAGGGTGAGAGGACCCATATATGCAGGTGTAGGGATGTGAAGCTGTGGATGGGACAAAAATGAGGAAAGAAGGGACACATCTTAGAAATGTTGGGAAAGAGGCGGAGGGAGAGGCTCTGCTGAGATACTCAAATGCTCTGAGATACAGTCCTTTCAGACCCTGTCAGTTACTTATCCCCACCCCCAGTCCTGCCCCACATGACAGCAGAAACCACCAATTGAGAACTGAGACTAAACACATGGGTAGGTATGTCAGGGAGACCTGGGCTTCCAGGGCTTTCATAGCAACTTACTAGAGTCTGCTCAGGCCATAGTGAATGGAGCTGAGTGGAAAGCCAGCCTTTGTGAGGCTGCTATGGGAAACATGCCACAGAGGGTTGAAATCTGGCCTCCCTTATCAAACTCTATCGATTCTGAGACCCAGCCTGGCCCGTGCCTCCCCTTCATCTGCCAATCCCCACTTCATCCTCACACCTTAGGGCTGTGTGACCTCTGCCCCAGTCTGGAGAAGCAACTGCTTGTGTTCCCTGGACACAAGTGTGGAAGTCTGCAACTTGTGGTGAGCCATTCAGTGGTCAAGGGTGGAGAGGTGGGTGGGCTGCATCTCCTGTGATCGTGTGGTCCCTCCCTTCCACACCACACCACACCAAGCCTAAACTGCTCCCTCATACCCCAGGACCTGGCAAGTACAAAACCTGGCACTTCATCTGCTCCATTCACCATCAATGCACATCAGAGTGATGTGGCCTGTGTGTCCCTGAACCAGACAGGCACTGTAGTGGCCTCAGCCTCCCAGAAGGGGACCCTTATTCGTCTTTTTGACACTCAGTCCAAGGAAAAACTGGTGGAGCTGCGCAGAGGCACTGATCCTGCCACCCTATACTGGTGAGCACATATATGTGTATGGTGGGCTGGTGACTTCATAGCACAAGTCATAACACTAGGCATCACTACTGTACTATCTTGTAGCATTAATTTCAGCCACGACTCCTCCTTCCTCTGTGCTTCCAGTGATAAGGGCACTGTCCACATCTTTGCTCTCAAGGATACCCGTCTCAACCGCCGCTCTGCGTGAGTGTCCTCACTCTATCCTGTGTGACCCAACTCCCCTGCCCATATGTTATACTTGGGCTTACTGAGTGCTTGCCTACAGGCTGGCTCGAGTAGGCAAGGTGGGACCTATGATTGGGCAGTATGTGGACTCTCAGTGGAGCCTGGCTAGCTTTACTGTGCCTGCTGAATCGGCATGCATCTGCGCCTTTGGACGCAATACTTCCAAGAATGTCAATTCTGTAATTGGTAAGAACAGAACCTTGGTTTGGGGTACTACATGTGTAAAGGACTACAGGTTGAACCTAAAAGAATTTGAGGCTTGCTGGGCATGGTGGGGCACACCTTTAATCCCAGCACAGAGGCAGGCAGATCTGAGTTTGAGGCCAGCCTGGCCTAGTGAGTTCCAGGCCAGCAGAGGTTACAGGGAGACTGTCTCAAAAAGACAAAGAAACAAAACGAAAAAAGAATATGAGGGTTATGAGAAGTCAGAGGAAACTGGAATGTGTGACCCACTTCATGTTTAGTAAGTAGTATGGCACTTGGGCAAAGCCTTCTAGCTAGACCCTAGGCCACTGTGGGACACCAGAGAAGATCAGAATACGTGGCTGGGGCAGCGCCTAACCTTTCACACTTCTATTCTCCCCCAGCCATCTGCGTTGATGGGACCTTCCATAAATATGTCTTCACTCCTGATGGAAACTGCAACAGAGAGGCATTCGATGTATACCTTGACATCTGTGACGACGATGACTTTTAAGGACCCTAGCAGCCGTGCTAGAAACCTGCAGTAGCAGATTGCCAAGCTGAGCCTTCGGGGTGGTGAACTAGCTAGCAATCATTAATGAAGCCTCCCACTCTTCCTTCAAGCAGAGCTGTATCTAAATAAACAGCTCACTTCCCCCAAGGACTTTTTTGCGCCCAAGGCAAGGGACATTCCCAGGGCCGCCTATTCTGGAGAAGATTCTCAAGGACCCAAAGGGAATGTCTTAATCCAACCTGGGGATTTTAAAAAGTTTACCAGGTCTCTGATACGATATAAATTAATAAAAAGGCTTTAAATGGCATTTATGACTTGACCTCAAGGGCGGGGCATACTTTCTCATAGGTGTGGCCCTCTAGGATCCTGACTGGACAGGGAATCCAGCTTGAGACCTAACAGCTCCTACAGCTTTATCTCTGCCAGTTTGGGTTCAGCTGATTGCTTCCGGCACAGCCCCGCTAGGTGCCCCGCCCAGGGGTGGAGAGAAGTTTGAGTTTTGGGCCTCGCCACGTGGTGGAAGCTTGGTTTCTTTGCAGCCTCGGTTGCCTTTTTCCACTTGCGTTTACCACCATTGGCTGTTTCTGGTCACGTGCGTGCTGCGCAGCACGCCCTGCTTGCCATTCGTCTTTCTAGACTCTATTTCCCAGTGTGCCCCGCGGTGCCGCGAGGGTAACGGGTGTTGTAGTTCTGCCGCCCTTCGGAGTGGTCCAGCAATCAGCAGGATGTCGGAGGTGCAGCTGCCGCCACTGCGTGCCCTAGACGACTTTGTTTTGGGGTCGGCGCGTCTAGCGGCTCCTGATCTATGCGACCCACAGCGATGGTATCACCGCGTCATCAACAATCTCCTCTACTACCAAACCAATTACCTTCTGTGTTTCATCATCTGTCTCGCTTTGGCCGGGTGAGGGACGAAGGTGGTGATTGGCTGGAGATACCAGCCGGATGCTCAGAGAGGGTAGACTTGCGAGTCTTTCAGGACTGGGAGGTGGAAACCTAAGGGAAATGCTAGGCTGGAAAGGGCAAATTTGGTAAGAATGGAAGGTCTGAGGGGCATGGATGGGAGGACTTGAAGGAGGCAGATCTTTGTTATAAGGAGGGACACGGTAGTGAGATTGGAGGGAGAGGTCTGGAGGGAAGACCTGGGTAGGGGGAAAAAAAAGGAAAGTGGGCTGGGAAGTGGACCTGAAATTTAAGGAAGGCCTGAAAGGAGGGGGGACGTGAGAGTAACTAAGAGGTTAGGGAACCCTGGGGAGTTTAGGATAGAGATGGGGATGTGGTAAAGAAGGGGTTGGGTGAGCTTGAACTTGCTCATGTTGTGGCCAGAGGGGCCTGAGACCAAAGATAGACAATCTGAAGAAGGGACTTGGGCAGGGTTGCAAGAATGGGATGAAAGACCTCTAAGGGTTGGTTCTAGCAATTGTGGAGAGTGGCTCTATACGGAAATGGTACTGGAGGGGCTTTTGAAGGGAAGGACGCCTGGAAGGATCCAAGTGTATTGACCGAAGTCCTGGTTGAGGGATCTGGAAGGGTTCTTATCAAGTAGAAGGATTGTGGGGACCCATATGGGATTACTAAAAAGGAACCCTGCAGGGGTAGAGTCAAAAAGAAAGACCAGGGAAGTGTTAGGAACCAGGGACCTCTAGCAGGATGGGAGGACATGAAGTGGAGACTTCAGGAAGTACTGACAACAGAGATGAGGGTCCACAGGAATCCCTGGAAGATGGACCTGTTGGAGACATGGTTGCAGCTTTTGAACAAAACTCTTGGGGCCCAGGACTTGGTAGGTTGGAAGGCTAGCTTAGTGCCCTTGTTTCCGCAGGTACGTGCATCCGGTGCACACACTCCTGAGTGCGCTTGTAGTCGTGGTGGCCCTTGGGGTGCTGGTGTGGGCAGCTGAGACCCGAGCAGCTGTGCGCCGCTGCCGCCGCAGCCACCCTGCTGTCTGCCTGGTTGCAGTGCTTGCTGTCAGCCTCCTTATTCTCTGGGTCGCCGGCGGCGCTTTCACCTACCTGCTTAGCATCACCACACCAGTGCTTCGTGAGTTTCTTTCCGCGTTATAGCCAGGAAAACAGCCAACTCATGCTTGCGAAGCCAGGCCCGCCCTGCACCGGTTCCTGGGCAAAGAGAGGGCAGGAAACTCTAGAAGACAGGCGCGCCTCCATTAAATGTGCCTTTCCTGGCTTTGCTCTCTTCTGAGAGCGTCCTTTTTGAGTGTCCCCATGTTAAGTGCCATAAACTAGCCATGTCTGGATTTCTTGGGATGTTCTTCCTGGTCATACCCTCAATTACAGAGCAAATTACCTGGCATTATTACTTGGCTGCTTTGAGAATCAGAACCACTGGCCTGCCCCCAAGTAAATTAATTCCCTTCTGTGGGCCCCAATTGACTGCAAGCTGAGACACCCCCCCATCCCACTGACCCCACTCTTGGTACTGCCCACAGTGATCTTGCTGCATGCTTCGCTGCGTCTGCGCAACCTTAAAAACAAGATTGAGACCAAGATTGAAAGCATTGGCCTAAAGCGAACACCAATGGGCCTGCTCCTGGAAGTGCTGGGACAAGAGCAAGAGGCTGGATCATAGGAGCTTGGCATCTGTACCCTGGATCTTGAAAACCCCACCTAATTCCCTGGACCTTTGGCCTTTTCCCAGCCATTAAAATATGAGCCTAGAGCTAATCAACAAAAACAGAGTATCTTTGACTGCTCACTCTAGCTCCAAATTAGTCATCCCTCACCTTCAAGTCCCTATTACCTAGGAAACCAGAGACTTCTTGAGTCCTAAACTTGAGATTCAGAGCCACCTATACCTAGCCCTGGGTAGTTAAACCAGTCTCAAACTGGGGACCCAGAGATACTCCTATAACCCAAACCTGGGGCTCATTTGTCTTCCATACTCCAAAGCTAGGGCCTGGAGCAGAATATTCTCAAATCTTAGAACCCAAGTTAAGATATAGTCAAATTTTGAGCCCCAGGTCCTTAGCCCTGACCTGGTTGAATCCTTGATCCCAGATAACCATAATCCTCACCAGTCCCAGTAGCCTCTGTCCATCTAGCTGATTAGAGATTTTGTCCCTCCCCTGAAAATGTTACAGTGTCAAGGACGAACATACAGGGCCAGCCAGGAAGAGCCCAAACTGGGAATGGGGTCATTCATAAATATATGTATCAGTATTCCTGCAACAATGAAGCTGTTGAATCTTAAACTAATTTGGCCTTCTGGGTAAATTCCTTGTACCTTTCAATAAACATTAGTGGTCTGCTGTCTGCTTTTCAGTTCTGCTAGACCCTACATTACTGGGTTTCTCTTAAGTATAGAGGCTGAAAGGGTAATTACTATGACCCTCAAACCTGTTACCTCTGGATTACCGTTAAGGCACAGGGAGGCTAGGGGCAGAAAGTGTACTATCATTTGGATCCTAAGAGTTCTTGCCAGGCGTAGTGGTGCACTCCTGTAATTCCAGCACTCGGGAGGCAGAAGCAGGTGGATCTCTGTGAGTTTAAGGCCAGCCTGGTCTACATAGTGAGTTTCAGGACAGCTGGGGCTACAGGGAGACCCTGTCTCAAAAAGACCAAAAAAAAATTATCTAGACTTAACTAGATGCAAAGAAGACAGAGGAGCAATCCAGGGTTCAGTTTATACATTTATTATAGAAATCCCCTTCCAGTGTGAGTAGTGTCTTGGGCCCAGACCCATTGGTACAAAAAGAAAAGTTTAACACCAGGTGAAGGGGGTAGGGGAACCCCCAGCTCCAGAAAGTCACAGACAAGTATAGAAAACACGGGTTATGTTAAAAAGGAAGATGTGACGTGGCCTGTGGCCCATGGCCAGACGTCACCTGAGGATTTTACTGGCACCTACTAGCTGCCAGGTTTAACCTGCAATATCCCAGGAATGACCTACTCAATGGTTCTGCCCTGTGACAACCTCCTGTGGGGCCTCCTAATTGGGGATGGTCAGTACAGAGGCCATGGGCAGAGACAGAAACAAAAGCTCCTTCAGGGACCCCACCCAGATTTCCAGCCTTCCAAATGTTGACAGGAACTCGCCTGCCCAAGAACTCTAGAGAAAGGAGGCAGGGAGTTCTTTTCATACCAGTCTCAGGGCTGCATCAAACAGGGCCCTGTGACTCTATGGTCCATTTCGTTGGGGAAGGGGAGTGGTTCCTGAATGGAACAGGGGGCATGGGGATAGGAATGAACCCAACCAGGACTGAGCTCACAGTTTCCCTTTTATAAAACAATGGGCAATGACAGTGAATACTAAATCACAACTGTAAACAGAAATGGAGAAAGGGGCAGAGTTCCCACAACATTAACCCCCCCTCTTTGAAGCTAGCTGAGTCCCTCCAGTTCCCTAGCACAGTGTGAGAAGAGAAACAGGGTATCAGACATGGCCCACAGGAGCCATGGGGCCTTGGAAGATCAGATGGTTGCCCCTCAAGACTAAGAGCAACCACATCCCAGGGTTCAGCAAGGTCGACTGTGTGCTCCCCAGATTGGAGTCATGCCCAGACCAAGGGGCATATCAGGAGAGGTCAGACCAGTGTCCCTGGGGTCTGAGGATCAGAACTGGAAGACTGCTCCCCCTCTAGCGTCAGGTCACTTAAACGAGCGCTCAGCTCCGGGGGATACAGGAAGTCCGTGTAGTATCTTTAGAAAGGACAGCAGGAATCCAGAGGACAGGTGGGGGAAAACGAGAAAAGAGAGGAAAAGACAGGACACACACAGAGAGAGGGAAAGAGGCTTGTTAAAGAGGCGGAGGCAGGCACAGGACAGCACCTTCAGGCTCTCAAGCATAGGGTGTGGAGCAAGGAAGAGAAAGCCAGGGAGCACACGTCACATATATCCCTTCCTCCCAGCATCCTGGCTTCAAGGCTCATTTGGCCAGCTGCCACACACCAGTGAAAATAGAGAACTCCTTCTAGAGCTTGGTAAAGAACTGCTGCTACCAGCATCCAAGAATCCCCTCCACTGGGACCCCAAGGACTAATGCAGGTTATGTCTGATACAGTGACTCCATGTCAAGGCTACAGCTAGTTTCCTTGGGGTCCCAGTTACCAGCTATTGTGACAAAGTGCTCCCTGGTCAGGATATTTTCACTATTTGCATCAAGAGACCCCTACCCATCAATAAAAGCACCCCCATACCTGCTGGAGACAGGGGGTGCTGTAAAACTCCTCGAGTGCGGGAGCGGTGCCTGGCTGTGGGGGCCGTACAATGCCTGGCCCACCTCATAGCAGCGGGCATGGAGGAAGGGTGCGTGTGTCGGACCCACGTGGGAGGAGAGGAAAGGCCGGCGCTGGGGCCCCATGGCCAATCCCGAGTTCCGGATGTACCAGTCCCGCAGTCCCTCCAGGGCAAGGTTCTTGTGGCCACTGCGCTCCCCAACTGAGGGGATCCGAGTTGGTGGGGGCATCCACAGTAATGGGTTTGGATGCACCTCGGGACCCTCTATAGCTTCCAGGGGTAGGCCACAGGGCTTGGTGCGAATGGCACGGGCATGGGGCTCCTTGCTGCGTAGGAGGGGACTGTTGCCGTCAGCTGCATACATGGGTGGCGGGCCAGGGAGCATGGTAAGGAGCCCATCTCGGCGGGAGAGGGGTCCTGGGACCTCAGGGGCAGGTAGCAGCTCCCCCCAGCCTGCCCCGCTGCCACCACCTCTGGGCAGGCCCCGGTCCAAGGAATAGTCCAAAAGGAAGTCTCCACACACAGGTGGGAGCCGGGGGACCCCACGGGAAGCAGGAGCAGCTGAGCTAGGCCGGGCAGCCCGAGGAGGGTCTGGGGGGCCAGCAGTGCGGGAGGAGAAGGCAGGGACTACTGGTTGGGGACGCTCATACAGCACCTCGCTGCTCTTGCAGACTGGAGGACCAGCAGCAGGGGGAGCCAGGGGCGTAGGTGGGGAGCCGGCTCCCCCAGCAGCTGCCCGGTCCACCAGGAGAGCCTCAGAGCTGTTGCTACGACGGGTGCGAGCTGCGAAGAGGGAGGCCCGATCTGAAGCAGGATCAGCCCGAGGAAAGCCCATCTGGGAGTCCTGACTGCCAGACCATTGGCGAGAATGGAGGCCTTCGGGTCTGGGGAGCAGAGGTCGAGTAACAAGTGTTAAGGATCAGAAAAATCAGGCAGGTGATCTGAGTGCCCTGCATGCCTCATCTCTTTCTGAGCCTCCATTTACATATCTCTAAAATGGATCCAGGATTCGAAGTTGTGTGCATGGAGCTGCTAGGTAGCCTGTGTAAACGGCCACAGAGGTTTGGTCTCAGGCCAAACCTCAGGGCATAGAAATGTACAAAGGGATGGGGCTGCTAACTTTGAGGGTGATGTAAATATGTCTGGGGCTGGAGAGGATCACTAGCCAAGGAGGAACACACAGGGGTACTCTTCTACTAGCCCTGGCCCATTTCCCTGCTAAGGCTGGCCTCATGGCTCCATTCTACCTCCTGAAGGAAGTCTAGGCCTTACACCTGAAACTGAAGACCTACCTGAAGTCTAACATACCATGTATATGAACTATTCCCAAACAATCTTCCCTTCATGCACAGGACAGAGATTTTGTTCATAGCATGGGAAAAGTAGGCACTTGAGTATCTCGTATCTCAGAAACACTACAGTGCTTCAAAGCAGATTCTGGAGTCAAAAAAATTGCCTGGGTTAAAATACCAGGATTTCAGTTTACTCACAAGTTATTTAATTAACCCTGTTGTGACTCAGTTTCCACAGCCATAAATGGAAACAACAGCACCTCCTTAGAGGGATCTTGTGATAATTATAGGGGTTGATATCGACTACAAAAGCACCAATTACTAGCAGACAGTAGGCATTCAGTCCACACTACCAGAATGTACTGTGCCTATGTCTTTCAAAGGCAGGAATTACTACAATGGCTTCACAAATGAGACAAACATTTAGAGAAGGGAAATGACTTATCCAAAAAATACAGGAAAGTCCATACTCAAGCTTTCATGACTCTGTCTCCAATTCCCACTCCAACTTCTAATCACCTTTCAAAGCCCAGCCACTCATGTCTCACGTACTTTGGTAAGATTTCCAGTTCAAACTAAAGGTTCCCTCCTGATACTCAGATCCACCTTCAAGAGTCTCCTTACTTGCAGAGCTGGGGGCCAGTGACCCGGGTGAGGACAGGGGTGGCAGGAACACTTCGCCCCTCAAAACTGGAGGCACTCCTAGGCAGGGAGCGTGTGGGGCTAGACAGAGACAGCAGGCCTAGATCAGGACCCAGGTTAGGCCTAGCTGGCCCTCCTTCCAACCCAGGCTCAAGATCTCACTCCTGGTCCTGGGGAAAGGGAGACGGAGCTCCTCCTCACCTGGTAGGGCTGGCCACAGAGTTGCGTCGGCTCTTCAGGTCCCCATAAATATCTGATGGTGGTTTCCATGGGGCTCGCCGCTCAGGGCTTCCTCCAGATACTGCCCGCAGCTGGTCCCAGGCCTTTGGTGGTGAGGGGCGCTCAGCCAGAGAGAAGCAGCTACGGGGCTCCTCTGGGTGAAAGCCAGAGAAGGGTAGAATTTAATGAGGGGGCAGAGGAAGCTGGGGCAAAGGGGAAGGGCATGTCAAGGTTAAGCAAGCTAAGGGATGAAGAAGGACTGACCTCTAGGGCCTAGCAATAAGGAGGCAGTGGTAGAGTGAGTGGAGTGACACTAAGGACACAGGGGGCTAAAGTACAAGGGGTCAAATAACAGAATATTCTGAGAGGAAACAAGAGGGCAAGTTTCAGGGATAGTTCTTACCATTATCATGGCTAGCCCCTGACTCTGAGAGGGAGCTGCTCTCCGAGTGTAGAACTACATCCTCTATAGGCAAGAAGAGAAGCAACCTATCAATTCAAGGTCTGGGCTCCATCCCCTTCCACCACTGGAGAGGTACCTCTGTCTATCCTGCCTTCTGTCTCCTCACTCTGTCCCCTCCTAAAGAAGCCACCCTTGCCAGACCTAATGGCACAGGCCTGAAACTCTAGCTACTCAGGAGGCTGAAGCATGAGGACCACAAGTTCAAAGCCAAACTCGACTACGGAAGGAGTTCAAGGCCAGCCTAGTCAACTTATCAAGATCCTGTCTCAGAATTAAAGGTAAAGGCAAAATAAAACAAAACAAAACAATATATGGAGGACTGGAGATGTAGTTCAGTGGGAGAGTACTTACCTAGCATGCTCAAGGACCTAGATTCAATCTGACCACAAAAAATCCTATCTTTATCTGAATTCAAGACCACCATGGGCTTGAGTATTCACCTTGCTGATGCCCCATAGTCACCTCTCTTGCCCTCAAGTCAGATTATTACAGTTCCTCATTGGGGGAGTCATTTAAGTCTTGTCCACCTCTCTGCCTTGAGTGGCTGCTCAGCCTTCCCACCCCTACCATGAGGATTAGCCACAATCCACTCCAAGGTCCAATCTTCACTCACTGGAGAGATGCTCAGACCTGGCTCACCTTGGCTGAGCTGAGCAAGGCGTGTGCCCAGGCAGACACCCTGGACATTGATGAGTGCCCCCGAAGACAGTGGTAGTGGCTGGAGCACAGGGAGGCCAAGGCGGACCCGGAAGTCCCTGAGCTGCTCCTCCAGCTCATGCAGCCTCCGCAGTGCATCAGCCTGCACCTGACGACGGCGACGCCTCTGCTCTGTGCTCAGGTCAGGGGCCAGTGCCAGGCGGCGGGCAGCGGCTGCAATCTGCTGCTGCACTGACACCTCACGCTCCAGGGCCTCAAGAGCCAGTTCCTGCATAGCCCAAGATGGGTGAAACAGGATTAAATATTGGAATGACTAGGCATAAGCATGGGAAGGTGGCAGAGCCCACCTACACAGCAGGTGGGGCCTGTTCTTCCTTGGGGCAGGCCTGTTTGCCTAGGGGTGGGGCTTATTCATCCTCTGGGGACAGAACCTATCTTGATAGGAGGCTGAGACCATGTATCTTCCTAAAGGAAGCTTGTCTTCACAGTTAGGGACCAGCATCCCACAGGGAACCTATCTGTGCAAATCCCCCCCCCAGCTTCTCCCTCTCCTGGCCACAACCCTCACTCTTCCCTTGTTTCTGCTCTTTACCAGCACCATCGTGCTCTCCACACCCATCTGCTCACCTCAGCAGGGCACAAGGAGTGGTGTGCTGGGTTTGACTGTGGCGGAGGGTAGGCTCGTGTTGCAGGGGGCCTCCGGCGCACCAAGTGGGGTCGTTCACCAGGCTCCAGTGGGCACTCAGGGGGCAGCTGGCCAGTTAGCTCCTGGAGGAGGCAGGGGGCAGAGACTACAAGGGTTAGTTAGAAGGATGGTATAGAGCAGTGAGGGTTTCAGAAGCTACAGACAACTTCCAAGGAGCTCAGCACCCCACATGTGTGTGTTCTCCTCTTCTCAGGAACTCTACCACAAGGGTAGGCAGTGTAGACTCTGAGTTCCTCAATGGCCCAAATCCCTAGGGCCCTGGGCACTGGAGGCTGGGAAATCTGGAGTCCAAAGTTCTTAGTTTTTATAAAAGCCACAGTCTATACACTGCATATTATTAACACTCCATTCAGGGTATGGGGCTGCATCATCTGAATCCCATTACATTATGTATAGGTGAACATGAGTGCCCACATTTGTGTGTGTGTGTGTGTGTGTGTGTGTGTATGTGTGTGTGTGTAGGCCAGAAGCCAACCTTGGGTGTCTTCCTCAGGATGCCACCCACTTTGTTTTGAGGGGTTTTTTTGGTCTTTTCAAGACAGGGTTTCCCTGTAGCCACTGGCCTGGAACTCACTATGTAGACCAGGCTGGCCTTGAACTCACAGAGATCCGCCTGCCTCTGCCTCCCATGTGCTGGGATTAAAGGCATGTGTCACCACACCCAACTCACTTTGTTTTTTTGAGACAAGGTCTCTCACTAGTCTGAAATTTGCTGGTTAGGCTAGGCTGGCTGGCCAGCAAGCCCCAGGAATCTACCTGTCTCCACCTCCCCAGCACTGGGATCACAAGTGTCTGCCACCATGCTCAGCTTTCTCTTTTACATGGATTCTAGGGCTTGAACTCAGGTCCTCATGCTTGCATGACAAGCAGTTTACTAAATGAGCTATCTCCCCTACTTCTAAACCCCATTATTATTTCAGGCAAAGTATGTGGACACTCACAATAAAAAGGGTAAAATTAGAATTACAATCAAATGTGATGACTCATGCCTGTAATTCCAGTGCTTACTTGGTAGACTGAAGCAAGACCTGGAGACCAGCTTGGACAACAAAGTGAGACCTGTCTCAAAAGACAGATGGATAGGGCTGAAGAGGTGGCTCAGTGGTTAAGAGCATTTACTGCTCTTGCAGAGGACCCAGGTTTGGTTCCTAGCACCTGTAACTCCAATTCCAGGAACGCTGATGCCCTCTTCTGGCCTCTGCAGGCACCTATACATGTGGTGCATATAAACTCAGACACATGAAACATAAAATTTTAAAAATAAATCTTTTTTTTTTAAAGACAGATGGAAGCTGGGTGTGGTGGTACATGCCTTTAATCCCAGCACTTGGGAGGCGGATCTCTGTGAGTTCACAGCCAGCCTGGTCTACATAGTGAGTTCCAGGCCAGCTGGGGCTACAGGGAGACCCTGTCTCAAAAAGACAAAAAAAAAAAAAAAAAAAAAAAAGACAGATGGAGCCCAGTGTGGTGGCATGCACCTTTAATCCCACCCCCAGGAGGCAGAGGCAGGTAGATCTCTGTGAGATGAAGGCCAGCATGGTCCACATAGTAACTTATAGGTGAGCTGGGACTAGGGAGACCCAATCAAAAAACAAAAAAAAGACAGGTGGGAGCCAGGCTTGGTGGCACACGCCTTTAAGGCAGGAGGCAGGAGGCAGAGGCAGACAAATCTCTGTAAGATCAAGGCCAACCTGGTCTTCACAGTGAGTTCCAGGCCAGCTGGGGTTACATGGAGACCCTGTCTCCAAACAAACAACCCCCGCAAATAAAAATAAAATGACAGATAGATGGACAGAAGGAAGAAAGGGAGGGAAGGAGGGAAGGAGGGTGGGAGGAAAGGAGGAAGGGAAGGAAAAATCACCCCATATCTGTTCAGGGTGGACTTTGTTGCTCAGTTTTAGAAAGCTTTCACTTTTTGAGGTTTGGAGGGTTTTAAACTGTTCACAAGGGTATGGGTCTGCATTACCACATTTCATTGACTCCAAGAACTCTAAGCCAAACTTTGAGGAAACTGAGGGTGACAAAAAACTTATAGCCCAGACAAGTGGTTAGGAACCATCACTACACTCTGCCTGGCTCCTCACTCCCCTCCTGCCCAACAGCCCTGGGGCCAGGTCCTTACCGCCTCCTGCAGGCACACTTTCCGGAGCTCCTGAAGTTTCAGGCTCAGAGCCTCTTGCAGGGCTCGCTGGCGGTCAAGAAGCCCCCGTAGACGCTCTGACTTCACATGGGGGGCAGCCTCACCAAACAGGGCAGCTATACAGAGGGAGCAAAGATCAGGACAGCTAGGACATTCTGGGGTATCTATGGGGCCAGAGTCCAACCCTTCCCAAGCAGGTACATGGAGACTCACAGCAGGGGAGGAGGCAGCAGGAAGGGGAACCAACCACTGACCTGGAGCACTGAAGGTAGGAGAGGTGATCAGCTGACCTTTGACTTCCATCTTGGTACTGTTGGGAGGCCGTGGCTGATGGCTGGACAAACCCTAGTAGTAACACAGTACAGGAGGCATTAAGGAAGCATATCCCATGACACCAGAGTCCCTAGTCCAACCCCAGTTCCCATGTTCCAGTTGGTTGGGAATACAAAGTACCCTGGACCCCACCCGCCTACCTGGCCTGCCCGCTCAAATTCTGTGTCAATGTCTGGACCCACTTGACCTGGTACCTTGGTTCCCTTCCCATTGAGTGGTAACACAGTAAGTAGGAAGCTGGGCAGACTTACAGCGCCTCCTCAGAGGCCCATGGGCCACAGCCAGCAGTCTTGCCTGGGGAGAGAGAATTAATGGTACAGATTCAACTGAGTATAACAACAGTGAGTACTTATTAAGCTTTGAGTGCCTGGAACAGTTACCTGCTATGATACAATGAATCTTCCAAACCTCTTAGGTAGGAGCTCCATCATTATTAGCTCCCCTTTTGAGATGAGAGGTGTAAGACACAGAAAGATGAAAATGATTGCCTAGTCAATGACAAAGCCCAGGACCACCCCTCTAGTCCTATATATTCCCCCATGAGAGCTACTCCAACTCCATCAACTTCTGCTTGAGCTCTTCAGCCCATCAGGCCTCAGGGCCTTTACCCAGGCTTTGACCACATTCCAGAGTGTTGTTTTCAGTCTCTTACCACATGAATCTTGTTTCTCACTTACCACTTTGCGTTTTTTTTCTTTTTTTAAAGATTGTTTTGTTTCTATGAGACAGCATCTCACTCTGTAGCCTAGGTTGGCCTGAAATCCACTGTATAGCCCAATCTGGTCTTGAACTTGTAGCAATCCTCCTGCCTTAGTCTCTCAAGTGCTGAGATTACAGGCAGACACTACTATGCCTAGCTCATTCTGGGGCATAAACACCACTTTCAGAGGTGGCCCGATTGATGTGCTCTCAAATTTGCTGTTGAATGAAAGACTGTGCCTCCCCAGTACCTCTAATGTGGCCAGGAACCATGTCTGCCTGGTGCATCAGTAGCTCCAGCACCCTGAACACTGCTGCACACAAGTGTCCCACAAATGTCTGCCAGTGGGCTGAATGGCTGAGTGAATAAACACGAGGTAGCTGAGCCATGGTTCAAGGCCAAATCTGGCCCTATACTTGTTCTAATTCCATCTTGCTGCCCTGATGTAGCAAGGAGTATCACTTGACTTCAGGGTCCCTCAGCTCCTCTTCACATACAGTTCTGTCCTCAGAGTAGCATAAAGAAGTCATCCTGCTGGGACTGGTAAGAAGCAAAGTTAACAGCCAGAGATAACATACTACCTGCCTTCTGCCTCTTTTTCTGTCCCTAGAAGCCCTGGCTAAGCTGACCATGGAGCCTGCTTTGGCTGGCTGCCAGCTCTCCTTTATCTGCTCCTCTGGAGTTTGTTCCCTCCCTCCCACATCCTGCTTGGTCCCCAGCTGGGCAGCCAGGTGACATCACCTTCCACCACCTGGCCTAACCCCCATGGCAGGTGACTGGGAGGGCCTCATGGAAACAGCAGAGTTCTCATTTTAACCTACCTTGAAATCTACAGCTTGTCATGATGTTGTAGTAAGGAGTAGAGAACACCCAGGCAACCAAGAAAGCATGGCTTCAAGCCCCTTCCCCATTTTCACATTGTGGGGCATGGCCAAACTGCCTAGAAGGTACACCAATTTCTCTGTAGTCCTATCTGTTTCATAGGATCTGTATCCTTCCCTCAAAAGAGGCATGTTCTATCCTTAACATCAATGGTAAGGTAGGCCCAAAAGCCCTTTTTACAAATCCAGGCAGTTTGTACTCTGCGAAGACTCTTACACACCCACCCATCCGAAGCTCAGCACTTCCAAACATGATAGGTTTTTTTTCATGTCCCATCTTTTTCTGTCCTTCAACTCCTAAAACAGGAGTTACTTTCCCAAGCACTATTTGAGTTTGGGGAACTTTCACAAGGCTTGCCTAAATCATCCTCTGCCCCAGCAGGACCCAACTCCTCCCCATGAGCCCATTTATCCCATTAACCAACATCAGTCTCATGTTTTATACTACACTACCTCAATCCTTCCTTCTTTAGAAACTCAGTGCATCGTGGAAGTCAACACAGGGTCTAGACAGGAACCCCAACTCCACCCTGTCAGCCTGACCTCAGGGACATAACTAGGGCATGAGTCATGGGGTCACTAGGCAGGCTAGACATGGGTCAACACCCCACACCCCCATCCCTTGCTCCAGAACCTTTGCTTCCACTGGCTTGTCCTTTGGACACCTTGCCTTGGGACTTAAGGTCAGCCAACCAACCCCAAATTGTAAGAAAGAGCGTTCGGTTATCCTCCCAACCAAACCCTGGTACCTCACTGACAACCCCAAGGCCTTGTCCTGTTTTCTTGTTTCAGGGATGAGCTGCAGCAGGAGAGCTACAGAGGGTACCCCCATACACACCCAGAGGCGGGCCCAGCAGGTTTTTCAGGTCTGCCCTTCTGACACCACAGCCGAGAAAAATTCCTGGCTGTAATGACTGTTTACAACCAAGTTATTTCACCTGGGTGGCACCCCAACACTGTCAGTGGGACCCCCCCCCCATTTCCACACCCTGCCACCACTTGAGCAAATACACACTCCCACAGTCTGGACTGTTCCTCAGCCCCCAACCCAAGAGCACACCCTGCTTCTATCAGGCTAGGTGAACAAATGGGGGGAGGGACAGATGCCTGAGAAGTGGTTTCTAAATAGTCCAGTCTGGTTTTTTCTGAGGCACAGGTCCTGGTGAGGAGGCTCCTCTAACAGGGGAACAGGAAGTAAAGGCTGGGGCAGAGAAGGGGTACTCAGTCTCTTCATCCTTCCTTCTCCACTTCCAGCCAGGATTTGTATCAAGAAAGGAAATTAGGCATTTGGAAATTTGTCCTGCTACTCAGATCCTTCTGTACTGAACACCCCTCCTAGCCCCATGCAATGCTGCTGGTGTACTTCTTCCACAGACTAGGCTCTGTTCGAAGGAACTTCAGTACACTCTACCCCAGTTCTCAGTCCCTGTGCCTTCATTGTCCCACACCCCTGGACCCATTGCTCCCAGGTACTCACCAATGCCAGAGGGTGCTGTATAGTAGCCTCAAATATCTACAAAAAAAAACTGTTGTCTTGAGCAGGCCCTGGCTCTCCTGAAGTGGAAGTGAATAGCAGCAGGGACTACAGCCTGGGCCGCCTCCCACTAGGTAAAGGCCCAGCCTACCTGGTTAGGAATTGGGCGGGCCCATACCTTTTAACCCTTACCTGCCTGTCTCCAGGGCTAGGGCCGCCCCTGGGAGGCAGCCTCCAGGGTCAGGTGCCTGCAGGGTGCCCAGCATGGCCAAGAATGGAGCACAGAATTCCCTCCTCACCACAGACACCTGTCAGAGAACTAGGGAAGTAGGGCTAAGAGCTGTGGGGGAGCCACTGCCTCTCCTGTTGCCGGGATGCCCAAGCCACTAGAGCCTGCCCATCTAGAGTAGCATCTTGGGGCTTCAACTCTGGGCAGGGTGCATTACATTCCCCAAGCCCCTGCCCTTCCCTCCCAGGGAAAGGCAACTGTAAGAGAAGTTTTGAAGGGAAATTTCCCCCCATAATTAGTCATTTTCTAAGTTGGGGACACAGGAAGTTAACCTATCTAAGGAGAGTCCAAATCTCAAGACACTACTATCTTTCACAGCCCCAGAAGAAATAATCTTAGTAAACAGACCACAAGTTTTGCTGTCAAACCTGGGGAATGGTGCAGACCCAGCCTTCTCAGAGCCATGTTATAGATGGGGAAGCTGAGGCTTGGCAAGGTGAAGAGGCCTAAGGACAAAGTGACATAAGAGCATAACAATGGGCAGATCAGAACTGGGGGCTAGGTCAGAGGCTACTCCCTGAAGGGAGGGGAAGTAGGAAGAAATCTTATATTTCTTCACATCCTTGGTCATTCTCTCCTGTTCCTCCCCTCAATATTTCTGGCCTGGAGCCAGGCTTTGTGCCAGACAAATTGAGAGCTTTGAGTCCCTCTAATCTCTCCCCTCCCCTGCAGCCCTGCCTGGGTTCTGGGCTTCTCCCAGCACACACCAAATATCCTGTGCTTCATGTGAGACCATCTGCTTTGTGAGCTCAGGACCCAAACCTAACCTAGGAACATACAGCAGCCTGTGTGAACAGAGAGGACTATTAGGAGTGCTTCTTCCCAAGTTGAGGAGGGGATCCTAAAGAAGCTTTCCCCAGGCCACATGCTATTAAGGTCTCCCACCACCCCTTGCCCACTCTTCTTCCTGGTTTCAAGATTTCCTGTGTGGGATACAAAGGACCCTTTCATTGCTTTCACCGCCACTTTTACCTTCTCCAGGGCTGGTGAAGGCAGGCAGAGGGAAGATGGCCAGATAGTTGGGTGTTGCTGGGGACTGTCCTCTTGGCCACGGCCTCTCCCACCTCTTATGGGTCACCAAGGATGTTAGGAAAATGAACATTTACAATCAGGGACAAGAGACGAGAGAATCTGGCTGACAGTGCAGATAGAGCCTCAAAGTCTATATTACCTCATTTGGGAAATGCGTAAAAGGTGGTTTTTATAGAGCCAAGAGAGGCCAAAAGGAATTCAGAAGTTATTTCAAAGTGCAAAGAAACTCACACCATATCACTAATGACTGTTAATAAGAACAATAAATTCACACAGAGGTGGACTGATGTAGGGGTAAGTGAGGAAGAGCAGGTAACTCCTGGATCAAGTAGCCGGCGGGACAGTTGTCCACACACATCATTGCCCTGGTTCCAGATTTTTTTTCAGTACTGGGAATTGAACCAGGGCCTTGTACATGTTAGGTAAGCACTCAACCACTGAACTATGGCCCTATTGCCACGATTTTTTTAAATAAACTTAAAATTTTTTGAGCCAGGCATGGTGGCACACACCTTTAGTCCCAGCACTCAGGAGGCAGAGGCAGGCGGAACTCTGTGAGTTTGAGGCCAGCCTGGTCTACATGGTGAGTTTCAGGCCAGCTGGGGCTACAGGGAGACCCTGTCTCAAAAAAGCCAAAATTTTTTTTTTATGTGTCTGAGTGTTTCCCCGGTATATAAGCGCACCTGTATGTTCAATGCCCACAGAGGTCAGAAAAGAGCATTGGATCTGCTGGAACTGGTGTAATTAGGCACCATGTGAGTGCTGGAAACCAAACCCAAGTCCTCTGCAAGAGCAGCCAGTACTCTTAACCACTGAGCCATCTCTCCAACCCTAGCCCCACAATTTTAACAGGCTAGAAGACAGCTAAGCTCTAAACACTTTAGCTCACATGAACCCCACACAGCTAGTAAATGGTGAGTCTGGGTTTTAAACCAACTGTCACTCATTGGCTATGTGAATGCTTCAACAAGTCACTTAACTATTCAGTCCCTCAATGTTCTCATCTGCTGTATAGGGAAGCTAAGGTTGTAGGGGGAACTTTATAGGGATTCAGAGTCTTTGATACTAAATTATATAGCAGTGATGGATACTCAGAGGGCTGTTTCAAGCATTAATTGACAATACATTTACAGCTTGCTTATTAGGATAGCTACTGGCTGGATATAAGTGCTCAGAATGCATTGACTGTTAACAAATATTCCTACTCCTTATAGAATCAATTGATACATTTGGATATTTTTTTGAGACAGGTGGTATATCTCAGTTTCACCTTATAAATCTGAAACAGAGTTGTTGTTGTTTTTTCCTCAGATAACCTTGTCTGAATTCTCACTGTCCAAAATCAAGAACTATGGGGCTGGAGAGACATCTCAGCATTTAAGAGCACTGGCTGCTCTTGCAGAGGACCCAGGTTTGGTTCGGCTACAAACCTTGTGTAACTCCAGTTCCAGGGGATTTGACACCCTCTTCTGGTTTCCACCAATGTACAGATAGATACATGGATGTACTTACATACATGCAGGCAAGACACTCATACACATAAAATAAAAATTAAGCCAAAAGCCGGGTGTGGTGGCACACACCTTTAATCCCAGCACTTGGGAGGCAGAGGCAGGTGGATCTCTGTGAGTTCAAGGCCAACCTGGTCTACATAGCCAGTTCCAGGCCTGAGAGATGGCTCACCAGGTAGAAGTACTTGCCAAGCAAGCCTGACAATCTGAGTTGGGATCCCCAGAACCCATGTAAAAGCCAGACAGAGTGGCACATGTCTGGTAATCCTAGCACTCCTATGGTGCAGTGGGAGGCTGAGACAGGAGAATTCCCTATGTGTGCTAATGTATCCCTATAAACCCAGCACTAGAGGATGAGGCAGGAGGATCAGGGGTTCCAAGCCAGCCTAAGCTACAAAGTGAGGCCTTGTCTTGAAAAATGCAGGAATCAAATATAATCATATAAACTGTAAAGAGTGGAATCTGCACTGCACCCTATTCCACCCATGCTAGTGTGCATATACTTCAAAATAACATCTAGCTCCTGGGCACATTTTTACTTAGTCATTATCCATTATCACTTGAATTCACTCTCCTACATAATATGCAAAAATAAAATACCTTCAGATAAGTTGGCATATTTCACTGTTTGAACTCCTAGAAATCTCCCTACCAGATAGTCTGGGATGAGTAATCTTTGGGTTGGTAGTAGGTCTGGATAAATATTTTGTATAAATAAGATGGGTCTGGCATTCCTGGCTTCCTGATTCAAACTCACTATTCTTTTTTTTTGGTCTTTTTGTGACCTTGAACTCACAGAGATCCCCCTGCTTCTGCCTCCCAAGTGCTGGGATTAAAGGCACTAGCCACCATGCCAAGCCTCAAATTCACTATTCTAAGACTTTCAGGCACAAAATCTAATTAACAAACACATTACCTTCTTGCTATCCAAATGCTCCCATTCTCAATTCCATCCTGAATCAAGAGGATTCAGACAGGATGGCAATCTCATGTTATTGTTACAACTGGATAGGCCTCAATTTGATTTAATTTGATTTTTTTTTGTACAACACTGAGGATGGAACTTAGGGCCTTGCCCAGCTATATCCTCAATCTACTTTATTTTTATTTTATTATTTTTATTTTATGTGTATGAGTATTATGCCTGCATGTAGGTAAGTGCACCTGTGTCGTGCAATGCCCGAGGAAGACAGAAGAGGCTGTCGGATCCCCTGGAGCTGGAGTTACAGACAGTTGTTAGCTGCCATGTGGGTGCTGGGATTCAAACCCAGGTCTTCTGCAAGAACAGTCAGTGTTCTTAACTGCTGAGCCATCTCTCCAGCCCCTGCAATCCACTTTTTAAAAAGATGGGCTTGCAATCATCTCGGGAGGCAGAGGCAGGCAGATCTCTGTGAGTTCAAGGTCAGCCTGGTCTACATAGTGAGATCATGTCTCAAAAAGACCCCCCCAAAAAAAAGATGGGTGCAAGTGATCCTCATACTTTAGCTTATTGAGTAGCTGGGAATACAGGTTCATGGCACTATACCAGGCTGAATGGGCCTGAATCTAACATCCAGTGACAGTGACTGCCTATACCTACATACAACAGAGACCCCCCCCCCATGTGTGGAATAGTGTCAGCACCAAAATGTTTATTGATTAACTTAATGGCGAAGGGATAAACCCATTCCCCCATCTCACTCCTACCAAGCCCCACAGTCTCTGACCTATAAGGGACATTTTTGCCAGGTCAGGAAAGCAGGGACCATACACCTAGGATCAAGATCAGAAGCAGATAACATGACTTAGAAGACTCATGCAGGCAGAGCATGTTGGCGGACACCTTTAATCCCAGGACTCAGGAGGCAGAGGCAGGCGGATCTCTGTGAGTTCGAGGCCAGCCTGGTCTACATAGTGAGTTCCAGGCCAGCGGGGGCTACAGGGAGACCTTGTCTTAAAAAAGACCAAAAAAAAAAAAACAGAAAAATTACCCCCCAAAAAGACTCATATATACCTTGTGTCCCCTACCCCAATATTTTCTCAACCTCATCACCCCTCCCCCACCCAACACAGGATAGCCCCCCAATGTAAAAAGGGTAGAAACACAATCCAGACCTCTCAGACTTCCAGGGCGTCAATGAATAATTTAGGGTGTTCTTTCACATTGGGGAGAGCAGTGGGGTATAGGAACATTTCCATGCACTCTCTATGTGAGATCACTAAGGGTAGAATTGGGGGAGGAGGAAATCACACACAAAAACTGCACCTGCCACACAGAGTTTACAAGGTTGCTTGTTCTAGTTAAAAACAGTATCAGGAATGTACTTCGGAAGGCCTGGGCAAAACAAATTCTGAGTCAGGGGTATAATGAGGCCCCTGTCCAGAATGCAAAGAGGATGGGCAATGTGCATTAGAAAGGAGGAAGAGCTAAACAAGTTGGATGGTTACAATAAACATAGAGACCTTGTCTCAAAAAAGAGGCAAAACAGGGAACAAGACAAGATGCTGGCCAGAGAAATGAGGTTCAGAGTAAGAGAGAAAGTACAAGGAGACAACAGAGCATGGGTCAGAGTCAGGCAGTATAGAACAATAGCCAGAAGACATGACTGGGATAGGCTAAGGCAGTGATCAAGGGAGGGAAAGGACAGGTTCAGGATGGAAGTTAGGAACAGGAAAAGACCAGGACAGAATAAGGATAGGAATTAGGTGATAGTGGGAAAGGAAAAGAAGGAAAACAATGCAAGAGACAGAAGGGGATGTGTAAAGGTAGTGAGCCATGATGGAGATCAGAAGTCTTGCCGTGGGGCATAGCAGAGAGTGGGGAAAAATACAGAAGTCAAGCCCAGCTCAGTGGCACACACCTTTAATCCCAGCACTTGGGAGGCAGAGGCAGGTGGATTTCAGTGAATTCAAGACCAGCCTGGTCTACATAGCAAGTTCCAGGCCAGCTGGGGCTACAGGGAGACCCTGTCTCAAAAAGACCCAAAAAAAAGAAAGGAAAAAATGCAGAAGGCAGAGGTCAGCAATCAGGATAGAACTGGACCAAAATAGGGTTGGAGGTCAGGACACTTAACTGCCTCAGACCAGAAACTGGGGTCAGGGTTGGGCATCAAGACAAGATGGGCTTCAGATACAGGATAGGGTCAAGCAAGGACCTCTGCCAGAAATCCCCAAAACAAACGTGGATGGGGTTAGGGATCAGAACTGGACTTGGCGGACAAAGCAGGAGTTGAAGATCACACTAGGCCAGAAAACGGTTAGGTCAGGGGTACGAATGAAGGTTCTGGTGCCGAGGTTGCCAGGAGTTCGTAGTTTAAAAAAGATGTCCTCAGGTCAGACAGGGGTCAGGGGTGAGGGCATAGGATCAGAGGGCTTTGGTGCCTGCACAGGTCCGTCCTTGTGAGTGAGCGTTTCCCGGCCTTCATCCCGCCCTGTCCCCACCCTTCTTCTCTTGGCGGGGGTGGCTACTCACCAAGGGTCCTCGCACCCCGCAGGTGGGGTTGGCAGAGGCAGTCAAGGGTGCAGTGGGCGCGCCCCCTCGAGCAATCCGCTCATCCCAGGGCTCGCGCCTCCTCGCCTTCGGTGCCCTACCCCTGGGCCGCGTTCGGCGGCGCGACCTTTAGCCGTCGAGGCCAGATGGGGAACCCGCCCCCCGGAAGGTGGGAGAGGCGCGCCGCCCTACCCACTGCGCCCCACCTTTAACTCAGGTCGTTGGATTTTGGTGGAACGGCCACCTCCGCCGCTGAGAGCATGCCAGGGGGGCTGGGGGACGAGGGGGGCGGGGCGCGGGACCACAGCAGCGGCGGAGACAAAGTGCGCAGGCGCCAGCTCGGGTCTCCAATTTTCCAGCCCTGGAAGCTCCAGGAACAGAGAAGCGTACAGCGCGTGCGCACGCGCCTTTTGGTGGGCCCTCCCCCACGCCGAGTCCACGCCCCCTAGGTGAGCCGACCCTAGTCAAGAGATCCAAGTCACTCTCCCCACAAATCAGCACCCCCAAATGCTCTCTTGAAGCCTTCCTCACACCTCTAAACTCCTCAACGATCCCTTGTGCTGTCTCTTAATATCCCCAAACGATCCTCTACCATTCCTCAAATTATATTCCCAGAGTACTGTCTGTTGATCAAAGCAGTACCTCCAGTCCATCCTCCATGGACACTGAGCTGCACCAATACACCACTCTATTGATCATCAAGCCTTGCCCAAATCATAGTATGTTGACCCTAAGCTAGACTCCGAAGTTACCCTCCATCAATGTCGAAACTGCATACAAAAAAATTTCATAGTCAGCTCCCTTGGAGTGTGCACTTCAAGCTATACTGCACCAAGATCTAAATCACTCTTTACATCTGAATTTCAACCTCCAAATTACTTTGCATCATGCCCGCAATTGTTAACCACAAGCAGTACCTGCAGTCATCAATACCTCAGCTGCACCTATAAACTTCCGTTACCTCCAAGATGCTCCCCCTTCACAATCTGTAACTGACCCTTGAAGCCACTAACTTCCAAACAGCATTTCTTTTTTTTTTTTTTTTTTATTTTATGGGGCTGGAGAGATGGCCCAGGGATTAAGAGCACTGATTGTTCTTGCAGAAGACCCAGGTTCAAATCCCAGCAACCACATGGCAGCTATCAATTGTCTGTAACTCCAGCTCCTGTGGATCTGACGCCCTCTTCTGTCTTCCTCAGGCATTGCATGACATGGGTGCACTTACATGCATATAAACAATACATGCATACACATAATATAAAAATAATAAATTTTATTTGATGTATGTGAGTGCTTTGCCTGCATGTATGTCAGTGCACCACATGTGTGCAATGCACTGCAGAGGCCAGAAGAGGGTGTTGGATCTCCTGGAACTGGAGTTATGGATGGTTGTTAACTACCATGTGGGTGCTAGGAACTGAACCTGAGCCCTCTGGAAGAACAGCTCAAGTGTTCTTAATTGCTAAGCCATCTCTCCAGCCCCAGCATTTCTATTAATTAATTCATGGATTCCCTCATTCAATTGCAGTGCCAGGAATGGAACCCAGGGCCTCCCATATAATAGCCAAGTGCTCTGTCGATGAGTTACATTCCTAATTCCAAGCATCACTCCTAAATCCTAAAATCAATGTGCACTGAAAACAACTGCATTGACCTCAAATATTCCATGCATACTTCAAACTACCCTCTATTTATCTCCAAAGATCCAAAAGCCTGCAACACCACCCCAAATATGACCAACAATGGTCAATATAGGCTCTACCTGCACCTCAGATTACTTCCAACTGTCACCTGTTTAACCACAAACTGCACTGCATGAACACTTTCCCATCCCCAGAACAAACCACCTTCCATTGACTTCCCCTCCTAGCTCTAAAAAAACTTCCTCTGTTTTGGAGATAGGTTCTCATGAAGCACAGGCTGGCCCCCAGCCAAGGATAATCTTGAAATTCTGATCCTCCTGTCTCCATCACCTGAGCTATATCCTTAGCCTTTTAAATTTTTCATTTACATTTTTAAATTTTATAGGTATGAGTGTTTTGTCTGTATGTATGTAAGTGCACCACATGCATACAATGCCCATGGAGGCCAGAGGAGGGCATTATACCCCCTGGAACAGGAGTTACAGACAGTTGCTAGCAACCATTATAGGTGCTGGGAACTGAACCCAGGTCCTTTGCAAGAGCAGCCAGTGCTCTTAATCCCTGAACCATCTTTCCAACCCTCTTACCAGTTTTTTTGTTTTGATTTGGTTTAGTTTTGGTTTTTTTGAGACAGGGTCTCCCTGTAGCCCCAGCTGGCCTGGAACTCACCATGTAGGCCAGGTTCACCTCAAACTCACAGAGCTCTACCTGCCTCTACCTCCTGCACGCTGGGATTAAATGCATGTTCCACCACTCCAGCCTCCTAGCCTTTAATTTTTTTTTTTTTTGTGAGACTGTTTCACGTATCTCAGGCTAGCCTGGACCTTGTTGTATAGCTGATCCGCTTGCCTCTGCCTCCCAAGTGTTGGAATTACAGGTATTCACCACCACATCTGGCTAAATCACCCATTTTTTAATGTGTGCTACAATTTTAGTAAATTTACCAAAATATACACCAGTTACCATAACCCAGCTATTTGATTGTTCCTCAGACCCAGTCTTGCCCTAGATGGCCTGGTACTCTGTATGTAGCCCAGGCTGACCTCAAACTCAGCAATCCTATCAAGTGAGTGCTGGGATTACAGGAATGTGCCATGTGCCACTGCATCCACTGTTTAGTCGGGGGAGGGGGGTTGTTTGGTTGGGTGGGTGGGTGGCTACTGTTGCTGCTGTTGTTTTAAGACAGTATCTTACTATGTAGCCCTGGCTGGCCTAAAACTCATTGAGATTCATCAGCCTCTGCCTTTAGGGTGCTGGGATTAAAGGCATGTGCCACCATGCCCAACTGTTTGTTTTTTGAGATAAGGTCTCACTATGTATGCCAGGCTGGCTTCAAACTCCCTATGTAGCTAAGGCTGGAATTGAACTCCTCATCCTTCAGCCTCAGCCTCCTGAGATTACTAGCATGTACTATGTCAGCTAGCTACACTACTTCACCTAGCTACTGGAACCCAAAGCATTTATGTCATCCTAACAAGATTCCTCGTGTTTGAATACAGTTTAGTCCCATTCTCATTCCCAACCTTAGGCAACCACAAGTCAACTTTCTGTCTGTAGATTTGCCTTATTCTGAACATTTTGTATAAATATAATACATGGATTTTTTTTGTATGTCTAGGTTTTGTTGTTGTTGGTGGTGGTGGTGGTAGTTGTGGTGGTGATAGTTTTTTGAGACATGGTCTCACACTGTATATCCCAAGCTAGCCTAGAATTCTCTGTGATCTTCTGCCTTCTGCCTCAGCCTCCCAAGTGTGCAATACCATAGCACATATAGTTCATCCATATTGTTGCATGTGACAAGTAGTGTGTACCATTTATTGCTGAACACTGGTCTATCCAATGAGTTTTGGGGGGAGAGGTTGAAACTGGGTCTCACTAAGTAGCACTTGGCCAGCCTATAAATCGCTACACCACACCTGGTTTACTTTCTTTTCTTTTTTTGTTTCTTTTCTTTTTTTTTTTTTTTTTTTTTTTTTTTTTTTTTTTTGAGATAGGATCTCCTGTAGCCCATTCTGAGCTCAATCTCACTATGTAGTCAACCTTGAGCTATTGATCCTCCTGCCTCTCTGTCCACCTCCAGAGGGGTGGGATTACAGGTGGTGCACACCACACCTGGCCATTTTATTTTATTTTATTTTTGGTCTTTTTGAGACAGGATCTCCCTGTAACACCAGCTGACCTGGAACTTGCTATGTAAACCAGGCTGGTCTTGAAGTCACAAAGATCTACCTGCCTCTGCCTCCTGAGTGCTGGGATTAAAGGCGTGCCACCATACCTGACTGCCCTGGAATTTTTTATCTTCCTGCCTCAGCTTCCCCTACTGCTGAGATTAATGTGCTACCACATCTAGCACGTAACTTTGTCTTAAATCATGTGCAAGTACACCACAAAACATCTTCCAGCTGTGATGGGGAGATGACTCAGTAGCAAAAGGCACCAGCTACACAAGCCTGATAACCCAAGTTCCATCCTAAGAATCCACATAAAAAGCCAGATGTAAAACCGGGTGTGGTGGCACACACCTTTAATCACAGCACTCAGCACTTGGGAGGCAGAGGCAGGCTGATCTCTGAGTTCAAGGCCAGCCTGACCCTAAAGGAAGACTCAGTCTCAAAAAGACCTTAAAAAAAAAAAAGATGGTTCAGTGGTTAAGAGCACTAGCTGCTCTTGCAGAGGACCTGGGTTGAATCCCCAGCACCCACATGGTGGCCAAGAACCATTTAAACTCCAGTTCCAGGGGATCTGATGCCCTCTTCTGACTTCCATAGGCATTGCATGACATGGGTGCACTTACATGCAGGCAATTCACTCATACACATAAAATTAAAATTAAAATAATACATTTTAAAATTTTGTTTCTTTTTTGGTCTTTTTGAGACAGGGTCTCCCTGTAGCCCCAGCTGGCCTGGAACTCACTATGTAGACCAGGCTGGCCTTGAGCTCACAGAGAACTGCCTGCCTCTGCCTCCTGAGTGCTGGGATTAAAGGTGTCCACCACCAAGCTCAGCATAATATATATACATTTGTATCTTTTTGAGACAGGGTCTCCCTGTAGCTCCGGCTGTCCTGGAACTCACTATGTAGACCAGGCTGGCCTCGAACTCACAAAGATCTGCCTGCCTCTGCCTCCCAAGTGCTGGGACTACAGGCATGTGCACCACGCCCGGCTTTTTTTTTTTTAAGTTATATGTGAGGGACAGTCGGCTGAGGACCGTGGACACCATGGTGGCCTACTGGGGGAGGCGGGACTCAGCTACATCCAGTTCTCCCAGATCTGTGCAAAGGCAGTGAGGGATGCCCTGAAGACAGAATTCAAAGCAAAGGCAGAGAAGTCTTCCGGCAGCAGCATAAAAATCGTGAAGGTGAAAAAGGAATAATTGACCCTGACTGAAGCTTGCAGTCCTGCATCCTGACTGTGAAGATGTGGACACCTGCTGTGGCAGCTCAGGATTAGCCTCGCTTTATGAAGAAAAGATAATGTCTTGTTCATAAACTGATGCCAATAAATTAACATAGTTTACTCTTTAAAAAAAGTTTTATGTGGGGACTGGAGAGATGGTTCAGTGGTTAAGAACACTGGTTGTTCTTGCAGAAGACCCGGTTCGAATCCCAGCACCCACAGGCAGGTAACAACTGTCCCTAAATCCAGTTCCAGAGG